AGCCCATTTTCAAACGTCCCGATCCTGTGTTCCTTTTCTAGCAAAATCCCGGATTTGTTTTCACAACAGTATGTAGGAGATGTTCCCCCTTGAAGATTTCCTTAATACTTCGTGAAAAGCTCCACATTCGCATCAACTGCTTGTTGGAAAGTAGTAAAGTCAATAATGCTGATAGTTTTCTGACGAGGAGCGTAGGCGAAGGATAGGTGAAAGGTCGAAGTGATGATATCTCATGCAAATCTTTGGCCTATTTTGCAGTGCAACGACTTGGTACGTGATATTCTCTGTAGAAGCGATAATGCTTGGAAAGTGGTTTTTAGAGACTGTTTTGAACATGTAAGAGTTGTCCCAGACTTTTTCGTCCAACTAATGCGTCTTAAGCAATCTGGCATGATTATTTTTATCCCCCCCCCCTTGAGGGGGGGGGGGATGCAATGCGCAGGGGTTGCTTTTCCTTCTGAGCGAGCGGTTGCATTTTTTTTCTCCAACGAGAGCCGATTTATCAGCAGGTGTTGTTCCTCTACAGACGTCTATCTATGATGCTTAATATGCGGAATGGGGAACACTCACATATCCTTATCTAGAGCCAGAGGGCGAGGGAGCTAGCGGGGTCTGCTTTTCGCTAGGCAATCGGTGACGTTGAAAGCCGCAAACTTGGACTCCTTTACGCTGCCAATGTATATACTCGGCTGTGGGTAGGACAACGAACGCTTCCGGTTTGAGCCGCCTTTCGCGGGCAGCTGGTCCTTTCGCGATGTTATTGCACGTCATTCCAGAACAGTAGTCCGCGGAGGCGGCCCAAGCGGCGTCCGTTTCCTTACCCTCCGATCACAGCTCGACACCCATCGTAACCCACACGCCACATGGAGGCAGCGGACCATAACGGAGGGGAAGCGCAAGTAACAAATATCAATCATGTGTGTATAAATATTATTGGCTGCTTTTAAAATGGCTGTCAAGCCGAATGATAAGCAAATTTGGTGGTAAAAAAGTGATAAATTTCTAGCAGCACATCCCAAGGATTGATGTATGAAATCAGTTAGAACGAAAAGATTGTTTAGCTCCATGCAAAGAAAAAAGATTGGAAGAGCAAGAAAAGTGAGAATTGCTTGTTGAGATCACATTATCCGTTGAGCAAACCAGCCACGCCTTGATATTGGTAGGAAAGGATGTCATTGAAAGCTTACTTTGTATTGGTTGTTGCAAAAATAACGTCCTTATTGCAATGTTCTAGTTTGAAAGCTGCAACTTTGTCCAGTCTTCATATTTTTTTAAGCAATTAAGACCATCAGAAGCAATAAACCTTCCGTTACCTAGCGCGCACCTGCTAATACTGATATCGCAAGCGGGAAGAAAAATATGTAATCAAAACCAGAAAACCGAAAGTCTTCCTTTGAAAAACTTGTTTTGACAAGTTACAACTCCCATCAAGTTCTGTTCCTATGACTGGTAATCAGCTTATTTTGTAGAAGCAAGCTAGTATATGTGTGTAAGAATAAGTCAACGAAGGAGTTCTTCGGAAAGAAAAGATAAAAATCCAAAATTGTACTGAACCTATTTGTGGTAGGCCAGAGGTCCCAAACTATGCACATTTAAAATTCTTCATGCACTAATTAGTTAATTTTTTCTGCAAAAGTTGTAGGCAGGATGCCCTGAACACAAGAATACAGAAATGAGCGGAGATTCGGCAATTGACTTAACCAGAAAAATCTTTAACTCATAGAATACCAGGAAGCGAGTATCTGTTTTGCGGCATCAATTTCTTGGTCCAGTTATATTCGAAAAATGTTCAAACGTGCAACAGTTGAAATAATCATCCCATAGAACAGCTATGTGTTCAAAAATTCGTCTATTGGTACCTGAATTCTGGCCAAGAAAGTTATAATGACGAAATTGAGTGCGGAAGAAAATGTTGGTAAAGTTCTCACAGATGAGATAAAAAATTAATTCCAGCATTATTAGAAAGTACATGAAGAGGGCTTTCAAATGCATATGTTATGACATGCAGAATCTATATCGAAAAAGAAAGTTTGATGGGAAAAATTTGTTTGGGACTAGGCCTAGAAAAACGAACATCATTTTTGCAACAACCTGATACCTCCTTCTATACTTAAAATTCGCTCAAAGTGCTCTCACCCAGAGTGAAAAAGGGACCTAAAATGGAAATAACAACACCGCGCGAGAGCTCATTTGCGTCTTAGCAGTTGATGTTTCGATTCTCTACGGAGTATTCCGAGCCCTCTTTGTTACGGGAGCAGAGCTTATCAACATCTTCACCTGTCAGCTAAGAATAGTATCGCTTCTGCTATGTCCTCAGGCTGTCCAACACGTTGACAGGGAACGCGCTTGAATTCTGCCACCAACTCGTCCTCCCACTAGAACTGAGAGTCGTAGTTAATTTTGACTGAGTTGCTACGAACCTTCTTGACCAATTCATCGGAAAACCCGTGCTTCTGGAAGATGTTAGTGGAGACGAGTCCGGGACTAAAAGTTGATTGAAGATGAATTCTCATTATCATAAGCTTTAGCCTTGTCATACTTTACAGAGTTTACACGAACTCCTTTGGTGATATAATGAAGTGCGATGTTTCTCGTAAGCTGATCTTGAGCAGCTTTCGCTATGCAATAGAACGGGCTAAGCGTTCCCTAGAGCACTTGCTCGATCAAGCTCTGACAAATTGTGATCCAACTTACCGATCCATTATTGAGTCCAGCAATGCTGCTTACATTCACAATTTCTCCTTTTGTCTTTTCGAGATGCGGAAGTGCGAGCTGACAAAGGCGCAATATACTAAATTTACAACATTCAAATTTTGTGTTGCGTTATCTCCACATATCTCTCATACCTTTTTGTGTTTATTTCCCATGCATAATCGAACCTGCTTAAGTCACCTTCTATCTCACAGCCGCCCAAAGGTGCTTCTGTCGGCATACCACCGGCATTGTTTACCTTAAAATGTAGTTTTACTCTGGCACATAGGAGAATTATAGAGGTTTACAATTGTCTGAACAAATGACTGAAAAAATCTTCTTACCAGTACGTCCAAGCGTCCGAATTTCTTGACTGTGTCATCAATTGTTTTCTTCATCACATCTTCCTTGCGTAAATCTCCTTTCACAAGAACAACTTTTGCTTCATTGTTGCCATTTTTAGCCAGTACTAAACGTTTGGATTCCTAAACAGAACTGAGTGACGATTATATATGTTCTTCTTCGCATGTATAGTTAGCGTTTGAAAAACTTTTCAAGGGTGTGGCGACAGCCACGAGTTCCCAAAAGTAAGATTATTTCAAAAGCAAATACAGTGAGCTGAGAATGGGAGCCCGCATTGAAATTCATTTTTTAGACATTTTCAATCAACAGTCATGTTTTTTGGCATGAAGTATGAATTTTGGGTTAACTTGTATGAAATTGGAAACTCGTGCTTTTTGAAGGGTAAAAACCTAGTTTACCATACTTTCACAAGCAAAAAGTGGCCTGAATCACCTGAAGTTCTAGCTTTTTTGAGATTTCACTCCAATTATAAAATGGTGTACTGAGACGTGAAGTTTTCAAAAAAAAACAAAAACCTCAATGAGACTCCCCCATCGTAGAGATTTGAGAGTTTTGAATCGGACGGTAAATTGACAAAATTGGCAAGGTTAATTACAAAATTGGCAAGATTAATTGCTAACGAACGTCAGTCATGCACTTTTCGGGAAGTTTGAAAAAAAAAAGAATTTGCTAAGCTTAACTTGTTCTTTGGTGATTTTCTAGATCTGATGACGGTCAAGAATAAATTTTCAAAAACAGCTAAAAATTATATTACAACATCATGGCCATCATGACAAGTCGTGAATGATGACTTTAGCAATGAATAATCTTCACCAAAGTGTGAGATAATAAATCTCTTTACGATAAAGCAAGAAGGAAAGTTGTGCCAAAAAACATTGCGCTGCCACAACGCTTTCCGAGGTATTTTTGGCACTTATTTCTTGAGTAAACACTAACTACGTTTCTACAAGAAACATTTTCAATGTGATACACTTACTTGCAAAGATGTCTCATTACGGCCGCACAAAGTAACCGAGGCTCCTTCTTGTGCGAACAACTGCGCAGTGGCCCGTCCGATGCCATTGGATGAGCCTGAGTGAGATTGTTGTCCTACTTATTATCTCTTTTGACAAATTGAAGGGGTCTTCCAAATGAGGGTGTGGCGCTACGGCAAACCAATAAAGACCAGTTTTTTGGTAGAATGTATGGGAGACCCATTATTTGCATACTAGCATGCGAGCAAAGGAGTATAAAATTTTCTTGCGCATGCTTCATCCTTCATAATTATTCAACTCTCAATTCCAATGAAGATCTTTTATCTATCTAAACGCAACTTATATAAAGGATAAAAGATAAAGGATTTGGCGTCTTTAATACCCTTTACGGACATGCGCCGAGCGCACTCTACTTCATAGTGCAGGCTTCTGACTGTGCTTATATGCTTGAAAATAATGACAATCTTCGCGTAACCGCTCCTCTTATTTTCATTCGATAGCCTGGCCTACCTAAGCGGGGAATTTCTCATTATATGCAATTTGCTAAAATCTCATAGGAAAAGGTGTAGTCTGAGTAACATACAACAGAACAACAATCAATATTCGAGGCGTCCCAAAAATGTACAGACTGTACTGTACAGACTGTCTGATCTTTATCTCACTTTTCCTAGAGGCTTTTGCCAACTTTTAGATAACTTCTCTAGAACTGGGTAGAGCAAATCGAGGGTTGTTTTTCTAACTGCAGAAATACGGTGGGAACTTTCAGCATATAATACAGCGTTGGGGAAGTCCTTGAAAACGATGTTGTTATCGAAATTATGAAGCTAGGCAAGATGATTACATGCAATCATCAAGCAATATTTACTCGATCGTTTGCTACATAAAATTGGCTTCAAAATTCAGAGATTCCTCTTTTGCCGCGAACACAAGCTTGGAAACACGTGGAAACGCTGTCAGGTGCCACGGAGGTGCTCCACGTCGATTTCCTCCCAAGCATTCTGAAGAAGACGTCGCAGAGACTCCACAGTCTTGTGTGAGTGAGTGCAGGCTTTGGCCTAACTGACCGCACGCTGTAGTCGAGGGAATTCAAATCAGGAAATACGGGCCATTCCGCATTAGTAATGAGATCCCTGAAGACAGCGTCCAGGCAAATTTGGCCTACGGAAATCTCACATGGAAAGTAATTTTAGGGCTCTAATTGAGGCGTTGCCAAAGCGGCATGCGAATGCTTCCTTCACGGCTGAGATATTTGCCTACAAAGAGGACCCCGGGTCGTATCAATGGACAACTTGCATCGTTTTCGCATGCTGTCGCACCGGGACCACGCGCAACTGATAGGTTGTTGAGGTTCCGTTATTACAACCATGAGGTCCAGTTTGGAGGCGAATATCTCAGCCGTGATGCACCATCTGGACTGTCTTAGTTATGGCCCAAATTACTATTACTACTCACGTAAGATCGCCATACGCCCAGATATACCTGGACGTATGGCGATCTTTGAAGCCAGCTTGAATAGCCTTCGTTTCGTGCGCAGGTGCGCTATCCTTCTGGGAACACAACCGCTCCCGGCAAATTGGATACTTCCCAGCCAACAATTCCTTCTTCAAGATGCTACCCACATGCGTAGCAGCGTCCACCTGATGCCTTGAAACACAAAAATCAGCGGTATCTTGCCATCGGAAGCAATCGCCGCGCAAACAATCACAGAAGTCTGATAAAGCTTTCTTTTTTGAAGTCAACCCTTGCTATTGGCGCTTCATGGAGCGATTAGGTAATGATTCTGCTGTTTTGGTGATCAAAAACCTGCTTCACGGTGAAAATTTTGACGACAGAAAAGAGTACCGTTCGGTGGCGTGCTTTGGGGAAACGTCCAGCAGTCAATGGCACTTGCGCATTCGATTCAGTTTCGTGTCTTCCCAAAAAGCATGAACCTTTAGCATTCAGAAAAGCTTCATCCCAAAGTCCTGTCCCACGATGTTGGAGACAGTCCTGCCATAGATGAAAAGCTTTGGCGCCAGCTCAATCAAGTTTCTCCTAGGAATGCGACGAAGGCGTTTGCGAACGATCTTCCGATCTTTGTAAGTGTTCGCGTAACCGATTTACCACTCCTCCGACGATCCTGGGTGGTGTTCATATCTTGATAATGACATAAGGTGAATCAGTTGCTGTTCTGTGAAATTCCGAGAACCCGCGTAATCTGCTGGTCAACCATCCTCTCCTTATGCTATCTCCGTCTGCTGTCAGGAATAAATTCAACAGTCCGGTTTCGGAGGGCTTGTACATAACAGTATAAGAAGTAGAAGGTTAACGTAGAAGGTTCTATATGCAATTAATCCGCAGGAATATATAGAAAATCAGAGGATACGATGACATCAAAAATTGTTCAAGGACATACCCCAAACCTGTATAAAAGTGTAAATAGACCGTTTAAAAAAAATTTCAAAAAAATGACTGAAAGTTGTGTAACAGGGTTTCACGTGTGCTTTCTCAACACAGTTTTTCAAGAGTGTCTTTATTTTTTAACGGGTTCGCTTATTAAGAGATATTTTGAGAAAAACCATTGTTACAGCATACTTGGTAAAGCTTGTAAAACACGTTACGGTCAAGTGCTAATTTCGTTTTTGAAATCAGGTCAGCGACTCTATTTGGCCTAGTTTGTAAGCTTAGCTTGTTTGTTTTTCTAAAGCAGAATGTAGCCCTCAATGGCCCAAAACCCTCTTCAAAATTTTCTCTGTAATCTTACAGTAGAGAGTGATTGGTATTACTACAAATTAAGATGAAGCCAGCTCTACAGTATGTTAACTGAAACTTGGTAAAGGACTTTTTGGGAAATACTAATGATTGCACAGTGTGTACTCGTGTAGATTAGTCGGTAAGTGTAGTGTCTACATGGTGCCGAGAAAATGCGGTAAAATTTACGCTTCAATAGATAGCTACGCCTGAAACGCCTGCATTGCACCCGCAGGTCACTGCCTACGTGTGTAACTATTAGGTTGGCCGGAGATTAATGTCCGTTTTGAATTTCAACCGCAATAAGTCATACACTTCTCATTTCTAGATAGTACGCAAAGTAACATTCGATAGAGCAAGGCAAGCTCTACAAGATGGCCATCTTGCTTTAGCAACAGCTCTGATCCATCTCGAGTTTCAAGCCAAAAACTAAAAAGATTCAACTGCCCGAAAAACCGAGAAAAGTCGTAACTCTGTTCATAAAAATCCTACAAAAATTCTAATTTGCTCACGTAAACACAATCCGCATAGGGCACCTATATACGCCGTTACCGTATTTTTTCCTCCGTTAGAAATCAAGAAAATGGAAATTCTCGTGCATTTGCCAAAGTGATGCTGTGCTGTCCGCACATAGGTAGTTGTATACTACAAACCTGTAGAAGTGCAAATGTAAATTTTCAGCTCTGTGCAAGCTTTAGTTCTCGAGAAATATCGAATATAAGCTCCTGCAAGACGAAGGCGGTCGATTCAATGCGCAACGCGGCTGCGTCATGGCTGCGTCACAGCCGGGTCACAGCCGCGTCACAGCCACGTCGTATCTCGAACCGACCGCCTTCGTCTTGCAGGAGCTTATACAGCTTCCAAGTCAGGGGGTCCAAACTGAAATTCAGATTTCTCGAGAATTATAGCTTATAGAGAGCTGAAAATTTAAATTTGTACTTCTACAGGTTTGTAGTAACTATCTATGTGGGGACAGCACAGCTTCACTTTGGAAAATGCACGAAGGTTTCCGTTTTTTTGACTTTTAACGGAGAAAAAAATACGGCCGGCGTATATAGATGTCTTATGTAGACAGTGTTTACGTGGGCAAGTTAAAATTTTTGTAGGATTTTTATGAACAGAGTTACAATTTTTCGCGATTTTTCGGGCAATTGAATCTCTTTAGTTTTTGGTTTGAAACTCGAAACGAATCAGAGCTGTCGCGAAAGCAAGACTGCCATCTTGTAGAGCTTGCTTTGCTCTATCGAGCGGTACCTTGCAACCTACTTAGAAATGAGAAGTGTATGACTTATTGCGGTTGAAATCAAAACGGACATTAATTTCCGGACAACCTAATATTTATTCACGCGCAAATTTTACCGCATTTTCTCGGCACCGCAAAGACACTATAATGAAAACGAAGTTACTAAGCACATTCTTGGGACACTCTATATATTGGTACAATAGATAAGTACTACTACAAAGGAGGAAAAGAACAGGAACGTGTGGAAAATCCCGTGATATTTGTGCCCAGACAGCATTCCAATTTCAATGAATTTCGCAATTGCACTACCTCATTTGTGTTGACAGCCACTAAAAGGGCCTGTCTGATATTTTCAGCATGCTTACCTGTGACTATCACTGCTCGAGCATCGAACTGTCCCAGTGAGGGAGTACTTAAAGTTACCTGGAAACATTTTTGACTATTAGGTTGCTGCTACAAGTCTTGTTACACTTGAGAGATAAAAACCTTCATAACTTCTTCAAAAGATTTTCTTTGTTTTCCAGATATTGCGGAACGTAGATTTTAGACTCTAAAGTAAACGATGTCTGGATTTTTTAAATTCTTCGTACTCTTCTCATATCTCTATTCTCATATAACTTGCGTCCCAAAAGAGCTTGAAGAGCTTCGAAATTTCATCGGTATTAAAATGAAAAAAGAATGGAAGAACTTTTTCCAAAAAAATTGGAGGTTGAAGTGTCTCTAGAAAGTGCCTTTACGAATGCTGTAACTCATGTTCAGGAAAGGAAATTGAGCTGATGATTGACCCTTCGCCCCTTCCTCGCATGCTAAATATGAAACTTTCCGAACTCTTCAGAGTTTTTAAGAGGAAGATAAAATACAATACCGCTCACATTTTTTGAAAAAAAGACGTGAATGTCGCATCATGTATGAACATTACCGTCGCGTGGCCATATCTCGCTTCAGAGTAGACGAATTCTGCATCTAGAGCCACCATTCGACTCAGCTTGGCGCGGCGCATCTTCTAATGTATAGAAATATCTATCCAGATGCAGTGAATAAGCACTGAGTAACCTACCGTAAGCAAAAATCTGAAACGATTCGTGAAATCTGACCTCATACTGTGCCCAAGTGGATGCTTAT